AATAGTGTTTGTAAATAGGATATCATGTCTGCATCTTGTACAGCAAATAACCACTAGGAAGACAGTATGCAATGTGTTAATTATTGAAACTGTCCTACCAATTTGATTTGAAACTGTCTCATTGCTATTTGTTTCTCAATAAAATTATGGGGGAAAAAAAGGAAACAAGATATCGCCTGTGTAGAACCTGGTTCGTGAAAAGCATCATAAATTACTCTCATTGCTGTTATTACTATTATTCCTAGATAAATTCCAGAGTGTGCTGCTGTACCTGCTGCCATATCTGTGTCCCCACACCAGCTGTCCCTCTGGCCTCCGGCCAGCCTGGCTCATGGCCCCCACACTCCACTGAGACAGCACTCGCCTGTCAATAAACCCTGCCTTTGACCAATCCAGGACCTTCCCCAACTCAGGAAACTGTGGCTGCAGCCCCCCTCCCCACAGGGACTTCTCAGTGTTGGCACCAGTGCCCCCTGACCTGGAAGTGTTCCACTCACATGGCCCTCCTCCTCCACCGCAGGCTCTCCCCCGATGTCTTCTACCTTTCAGAGCTGGGCTGGTCCCTCCAGACTGAATCTTGACTTACCGCACCCAACAAAGGTCGTGGTTCTATTTGCTCCCCTCTCTGTTTCTAGAATAGTTGGTCAGTTTATTCTCACGTCATCTTCTATCTCTCTGAAGGCTAGGGAAGAACAACGGAATAAACTGATTAGCGTTGCTGAAAAGGAGCAAAAGGAAAAATACCTTAGCACCATCTACGTCTCTTTACTGCCTGGGTATCCTCCCCGCGGAGGTAAAATAATGTGAGAAACTGCTCCACCTCTTTTCCATGCGTTGTCTTAGCTCTCTTGAAAAAGACTGGAAACTATTAATGAACTAGGCAGAGCTCCTGGGCTGGTGTCCTGTTCCGTGTCTCACTGAAACAGTGATGAACTCAAAGTTATGGGTGTGCCAGCCCGACCCGGAACCCTTGGACAAGGGAGGCCTACAGGTCCTGCTTGAGTAACAAGTGCTTCCTTGCTATCTCAGTACTGGACATAGTTTTATAATTTAATTATGGAATTCCATAGTTCTGAGAACACCTCCAAAATCTTAGAAATCCCCCAACATGGGGCCTGTTGCTAGGGTAGGGTAGGTTGCTGCTTAGGGTGTTTGTAGCCCTCAAAACACCCTGGACACATTATTACAAAGACATGGATCCAGACAAATTATGAGAACTGATTCAAAGTGGTTCTAACGAGGAAAAAATTTGAGGTCAAAGGGCAGGAACTCTGGAGCTTCTTTCTGTTTCTCTACTTTGGTGCCTGGAGAGACCCCAGGTACGGTATAGACATGATGTCAGTGCCCTTTTACACAGAAAATGGGAAATGAATTCCAAACAATACTGGAAACAGCTGACCCGTTTAGCACAATGCTTAAATATGCTAGTGCTGAGCCAAGGCAGCATGTGTAGAGTAAATATTTTAATCCCTAATTAATCACTTTGGTTAGATTGGTAAAACACAAGTCTAATGAAAATAATTTGAAATTTCCTTCATGAATAATTGCCTTGTCCGGGGAATTGTGGGAAGAGTCAACTGACTGACCTTCCATTCCTCCTCAGCTGCACTGCTCCAAGACTTAATTTGTGTCCTTCAGCCCCTTCCAGTCACCGTTAGGAGATTAGAAATACCTTCCGTGCAGTTCAGCAGCAGCGATGCGGGGTGACAGTTAAGTCAGCAGCGAGGGAAGGGCCCGAGCCGGCCGTGCTTCCCGCCTTCTCGTGGAGCCTCGCGGGGCGCAGGGGAGAGGAGAGCGTCTTCCGACTCTGCGCTCTGTCATTAGGTCATGAGCGTGATGGATGGCTGCGGGTTATTGAGCTGCTCCTGTTCCTTTTTAATTAGAAACTTGAATAATAAGGTGCCCCAGGTTTGGGCATTTACAAAGGGGAGGAATTTTCCAGCTCCGAGTGCTGAATGCCACCTCGATTAGCACTATGCCACCAGATTTAATTACTTCTTTGAGTAAATGACATCTTGCTCGGAGGGCAATGTTCCCGGGTGCGCAGAGACCAAAGGTTAAGCCACCTTTCTCGTTACCTGTTCAGACACGTTGGAACCTGCTAGATTCGGGCAGTGGGTGCCTGCTCTGCCCCACTCCCCTGCCCACCTCCTCAACTTCTTCCCACTGCCCTCCCAGGAGTGAATGCACTGCTTATCTGCTTGGAATGCCACTAGCAGTGGTACCTGGCATTGTGCCATGTGGCTGGTGCCCTGTAGCTCACACTGCCATCATTGCTAAAAATTGCCCGTCCACAATTCAGTTTGGCCAGTTCTGTAGACTGTCAAAGTCCACCTGGTGGACCATCTGCCACCTCCCCCTGGAGGTTCCTTCTCTTTTGTTTCCCAGTCTTATTCTCCTTCTCTGTCTTGCATTTTTATTTGCAAGATTCAAATATTTGGGGACATTTTGCTTTCACCTATCTCGTAGTCAGGAGGACAGGATGTTCTTATGTTGCTGGAAAGCATTGGGGTGACAGCATCTTAACGCTTCCCTGTCCTGTGGTCACCTTGCACAATGGCCAGTGATGCACTTATAAAGCTGGGTGGTAGGGCAGAAAGAGACTGCTCACTTGAAAAGCCTGATGGTGAGCAACTTGGAACCCAGGTGATAATTGAATGGAAACTTGGACCAGATCTGGTGTCTCTATTCACACATGGCATTAACCACATTCTATGCCAGAAAGGGCTGCAGAAGCACTCCCATTTTAGAGGTCAGACGTAGGGAACTGGAGACAGAACTGCTGGATTCTTGTCTAGTGCTGTGGGTGTAAGGAGGGATACTTAGGCACCCAGTAGCACGCTGTGTGAATTGTGACTACTTGAATATTTACTGTTCTCATGATCATCTGTTAAAACAAGTCTATGGTGGGAATGTAAAGTAGTGTTAATGTTATGGAGAACAGTATGGCGTGTGCTCAGAAAATAAAAATAGAACTTCCTATGTTCCAGCAATCCCACTAGTGGGTATATTAATGCAAACGAAATAACAATTGGCATATCAAAGAGATAGCTGCGCTCTCGTGCTCATTCCCGAACTATTCATGATGGCCAAGAAATGGGAACCACAGAAGTGCCCACCAGTCAATAACCAAAGAACAAATTGTGCTGCTCACTTCAGCAGCATGTATACTAGAACTGGAATGATGCAAAGAAGCTGAGCATGGGCCCCTGCGCAAGGAAGTCGCTCCAAGTCGGACAGCGTTCAATATTAAAAAGACAGAAGAGCAAAACGTGGGATACACATGATGGAATACTACTCAGCCGGAGAATAGTTCTTGTCATTCGCTGTCACGTGGATGGAACTGGAGACCCAGTCAGAAAGCAAGCCCCAGAAGGACAAGCGACACGCAAGCTCATGAGGGTGTGGGATCTGAGAAAAATGATCTCGTGGAAGTTAGGAGGAGGAGAGAGCCAGTGACTAGGGCTGGAGGAGGGCGGGGGAGGGCTGGTCACCAGGGCCTGAGGGACAGTTAGGTCAGCAGGGAGCTCGCTGCGCTAGGCACAGCAGTCCAACTGCAGGTAACTGTGGAGTGTATGGTATATCCCAGAAAACTGGAAGAAAGGGTTTGGAACGTGTGCATCATAAAGAAATGACCAATATTTGCGATAGATAGATACATTTAAATGGATTTAAATATGGTTCTGAGTATACATATATCAAGAAATAACTTAGTGATACCCCACTATCATGTCCGATTTTTATCTTATGTGTATGTTGATGTTTTACATATTTTTTATAGTTCTATAGCTTTGTACTTTTGTGTAATGCTAGTGTTTTTGTTTTATACAGTGGTTCACCAATGCTGTTGTTTGCAAATTCTGCATTGGGTGCTGGACATGACCATGGCCATGTTTTCTAAAATTATGGCCCGAGGGGCTGGAGAGATGGCTCAGTGGTCTAAAGCACCTACTTGGAACAAGCTTGGCAAAGCACAGGGACTGCGGTTCAATCCCCCAGCACCACATGCCAGCCAACCGCGCCCCCTGGTGGGCTGAGCTGGCCACACACACACACACACACACACACACACAAATGTTAAAATAAAATAAAAAAATCTAAAATTATGGCCCGAATTAAGTCACTAAACCAAGTATCACTGCATTTTGTTTCTATGTTTTAAAGATATATTTTATGAGGGCTGGCCAAATAGCT